AAAATCCAATCTGGTCAAATGCATGGCCACTTGTGAATACCAGGTTCAGTAAGTCTGGACGGGCTGGTGCTCTAATGAATAACTGCTTGGAATTGAAAATCTGAGAGCCGAGTTCAAGTTCCAGTCGGGTTCACTATATTCCCTTACTCGCATATACCCTTGTGAAAGGTGTGAATCCACCTTCTCTCCCCCAGCTATAGGTTAATTAGTAAGACATCTATCAGAGCATCATTATTATCTCGAAAATACTATGACAATCTAAAACTATTTTCTAGCTTTAAATGACCTTCAAAAGGTTGTTAAGCCTTAAAAATGAAAATCAAACTATCAAAATCCACTTTACACAAGCTTGTTACCTAGGTTATTCAATGTTTTTCTCGGTTTGCCCTCAGTATGTTCTGTGAGTATCAGAATCTCCAAGCCTTCCTTCCACATTCTTATGATAATTTACCCCCGCACGCAGGACTGTCCCAGATATAAATAAGAGCAGGTACTGCCTTTTGGAGATGGAAGTTCCAGCAATCAGCTGTGACATTCGGACCAAATATTCTTGTTCTAACACTCTCGTTTTATATGTTTGTATTACTGTTTCAGTTAATATATTTGTTTAACTCAATTCCTCTCCATGTGTCTTTATTTCTGGCCCTAACAAGACCACGGCGCATATTATGTGCCACTTTCTCGTTTTACGTAGAAGTATTCTTTTTGTTTCCATTTTCCTTAAATTTTCTTCATTGTTCCCGTTTCCCGTTCATATATTCTCATTATCCTTCTGTAGAACAACATTTCTATTGGTTTTTGTTTCCTTTTCACTTGTTAGGATATTTATTAAGCGTTTTCACCCCAAGCAAGGCGAGAAGCCACTAGTACGCAAGGGGTTACAGAGAGTTGGCGCGAGAGCAAAGAGAAGTGCTAGAGGAAAGGATGAAGAGAAGGATAGGGGATAGATCAAGGCATCTGGAGACGTCGATTGACATTACATTTGAATATTTGGAGATTATAGCTATCAGGGAAACAGTAAAAGGGGAGAGAGTTCCACAGGCGAGAGGTACGAGACATGAATTATTGGAGTAGAAGAGACGGCTACATTTAACAGTTTTGAAAGTGAAAGGGTGTGAGCGAGATGCCAGCCTAGTAGAATGCTTAAATTCATGAAGTCTGGGAACCAGCGAAAGCTGCTCCTCGGAGCAGTTATCGTGAAAGTATTTGTAAAAAAGACAGAGGGAGGCGACGGCACGTCTGTGAGAAGGCGACTGCAGACGAGATGCCAGATCAGGACTAATTACATTGCATATCCGTCTCTGGATCTTATCAAAAACCTTGAGATATGCAGAAGGGGCACCAGAACATATATGGCAGCAATAATCCATGCAAGGGTGAATGGTTGATTTATAGATTTGAAGGATCCAATTTTCTTTACCATATAGGAATATTGTTATAACATCGCAGTTAATCAGATTTTCTTTATTTCTAACGATATTTTCCTATTTGAAAATATTTTTAAATTACCAATATGCGGGTATGCCAATGGCAGTTATTTAACATCTTGGAGACTATCATTTGAATTTTGTTTCTTTTTAGGAACCCACTATTGTATTTCTGGTCGAAAGATGATAGCGAATTATCTCCAAGGGTGAAGTTCAAGAACCTTAACCGTATTATGGTGATTGAAAACGCACAGTTCGATGACGAGGGTACATATCGATGTATCGTAAAACGTGGAAGCCAGTCAAAGGATGAGAAAACATATGCATTGTCATTAGGCTGTAAGTTGTTTTTTTGTTTGTTTTTGTTTTAACCTGATTCACCCCATGCAAGTCAGTAAAGCCACTAAGACACAATGGGTTACTGAGTGTGAAAGAATAAGAAAAAAAGATAAACATTATAAAGAAAGCGAGAACAATTAAAGTGTAATCAAAAAGACAGTAAAATAACGATTGACATAGCATTTAAAATTGTTTTCTAATCATTTCACCCCATGCAAGGCAGTAAAGCCACTAAGACACAAGGGGTTACTGAGTGTGAAAGAATAAGAAAAAAAGAGAAACATTATTAAGAAGCGAGAACAATTAAAGTGTAATCAAAAAGACAATTTAAAATTGTTTTCTAATCATTTAATGCAAGGCAGTAAAGCCACTAAAAAAGGGGTTACTGAGTGTGAAAGAATAAGAAAAAAAAAAAGAAACATTATTGAAGCGAGAACAATTAAAGTGTAATCAAAATTAAAATAACGATTGACATAGCATTTAAAATTGTTTTCTAATCATTTCACCTCATGCAAGGCAGTAAAGCCACTAAGACACAAGGGGTTACTGAGTGTGAAAGAATAAGAAAAAAAAAGAGAAACATTATTAAGAAGCGAGAACAATTGAAGTGTAATCAAAAAGACAGTAAAATAACGGTTGACATAGCATTTAAAATTATTTTCTAATCATTTCACCTCATGTAACGCAATAAAGCCACTAAGACACAAGGGTTACTGAGTGTGAAAGAATAAGAAAAATTAGAAATATTATTAAGGATCAAGAAGAATAGAAGAGTAATCAGCTTGAACGTAGATAACGATTGACATTGCATCTAATGTTTTGAAGATCATGGTTGAATGAACAGCATGGAGCTGGAAGAGGATTCTACCAGCGAGAAGTACGAGAGAAGGAACTGTTAGCATAGAACTTACGGTTACTTTTAACCAATTCAACTGTGAATTGATGAGACCTAGCCGCTAATCTCGTACTACGCTTAATTTCATAAAGTCTCGATACCATAGCGAAGAACGATATTTATTCTGCTATGTACAGAAATGTGCCACAAGGTCAAAGTGGGGAACGAGGAAAAGGACGGTCTTCTTCTGTCTTAACGTTAAACCACAAACACTGACCCAAATATACAACAATATTCCTTGCACCAAAACAACGCATTCTTATTTACCATTCTTACTTCATCTACCATAATACCTCATTGTCTCTATGAAAATCCTAACTAAACCCCATATGTACAATTTATTGTCTGCTGGTGGATCGGAACAAAGCAACAATTTTAAAACTAGCTCCAATGAGTATTTACAATATGAAAACAAATATATTTACAAGAAACTAAACAAAATAATGTAATGTTAGTAATACCCCCCTCACACACTCTCACAATCCTTAAATGTAGCAGAAACATCAGTTAACTGGACAAAATCATAATCAATCTTTAATAATATAAAACATTCATTCATCCCTTATCGAAGAGCTTATCCAAACAATTACTATGAAAGTATGTCTAGAAAAAGCACAGGGAAGCAACATTACGGTGGTGGGAAAGTGACTGAAACCGAGACGCCAGATCAGGACCACTAATATTGCTGATTATTCTTTGAGTTTTACAAAGAATCTCTAAAGAAGCACCGGACCATATGTGGCAGCAATATTCGAAACATGAACGAAGATCGAAGTCTTGTAGATAGATAGATTCTTGTAGCGAGATTCTGGAGAGAAAAAATTGTCTAGCGCGATACAGTGAAGCAACATTCTTAGCAGCTGACCTAGCAATGGATTCAGTATAGTCTTTCTATTTCATATCAATCGAGAATGTTAGCTCGAGAAGGCACAAGGAGTCACTTTCCTGAAGGATAGCATCAGCCATGCTGGTGGAAGGTAGAAATGAATCTCTCAGATGATGAACAGAGGGATGTTTTGTTTGACAGGCTGTTGTAACCTAGGAACGGTTACTGAGTAGTGGTAATCAAACGAAGGTTGGTAATGAACGATAATACTTAGAACAAGAACAACACATATAAGATTCACCAGCGGCGCGTAGAAGTAGTCAACTGCTCGAAGTGAGTCAAGTGAATTCTAGAATGAATCTCCAACTGCAAGATATCTAGCAACCGCCCCACGCGGTCAGATATGTCACAAGATCGAATTTAATGTGGGTTATCCGAGCCCGTATCCTCGGCCAAAAATTTCCCGTAGACCTCGAGACGAGACTGCCCTTAACATAATCTTGTCTGGGGATACTCTCTGCTCGGAGGCAGAGAGATAAACCATCACAGCTGGAGACGAATCTCCAACTGCAGGATATCTACCAACCGCCCCACGCGGCCAGATGAGTCACAAGGTCGAATTTAATGTGGGGTATCCGAGCCCGAATGGCTCGGCTAAATATTCCCCGTAGATCAAAGAGTTTGACCAGTACAGCTGGAGACGAATCTCCAATTGCAGGATATCTACTAACCGCCCCACGAAGTCAGATGTGGCACAAGACCGAATTTAATGTGGATTATCCGAGCCTGTTGGTTCGGCCAAAAATTATCCGTAGACCCCGTATAAAACCGGGTTGTGTAGCTGTTTCCCCGAGACGAGACTGCCCTTCGACATAGCTTCGTCTGGGGATCCTCTCTGCTCGGAGTTAGAGAGTTTGACCAGCACAGCTGGAGACGTATCTCCAACTGCAGATTAATATACAATATTTACTACTGTATTTATGTGAATGGGGACATACCCATTATCATCCATACGTATGCTTCAAGACTTAGACTTGAAGTGTTTAAGATCATAGTGATATAAGAATTATTCCTTCGGGAGTCTCTTCTACAAAGTAGAAGTTCCCGGGATGAAGCTTTCTGAGTGGTAATGGAATGAGGATGATTCGACACTGTGTACGTGACATGATGGGTCCTATCTGTGAAGGTCTGAACTGGTGTAACTAATGAATATAAAGCTGGTCTAAAAGAGTTGAATAGATAACACTGAACCTTTTCAATCATCAAAGTCATGGGACTTGTCCTGTCTCCCTTGATTTGTACTTTCTAACCCTAACACCACCTTCTTTATTTCTTGTTGGTAGATATCATTTAAATATATTCTTATTTTTTATAGTTAAATTCCTATCAAAAGCAATATAGCAACCCAAAAATGAATGTCTTTTTTTAAAATAAATATTCACCAAATGCGAGGCCCAAGAGCCTGTCAAGGTAGAGGATTACTGAATGAAGTTGTGGAATGGACTTAAGAGGATGAATTAAGTGCAAATTTTGAGGATATGTAGAATAGATAAGGGTTGATCCTAGATTTGAAAAGGTTCAGATTGTAGAGATCTTGGAATCATCCTCTCGCGTGTGTGTTCCATAAATTAGCTATTCTTGGGAAAAGGCTGTCTGGGTTTAATTTCTTTCTTACCAATGAAATATGAAAGGAATGAGAATGATTTGACCCTGTGTACGTGGCATGACGGGTCCGAGCTGTGAAGGTCTGAACTAGTGGAACTGCGGAATATAGCTATAGAGTGGAAAATGCATAAACAACCTTGAACTTTGTCAAGACTCGAAAGTAAAGAATGTGCAGCGCCAGCCCAGATATGGCAGCAATACTCTATGTTTTGCCTGATCTGATGTTTCGTTAATGGCTGTACGGTTGAAAATAATTACTCGCAGGGCCGATAAACAGTTTGGAACACAAAACCGGAAAGTGAGGATTGCATAGGTCCAGCACAGTTCAAAGCGTCTCTAAGGGTTCATCCTAGACTCGAAGAAGTTTTGGGAAGCGTAGAACCGTCGTTCCCAGGTCTACCCTGACCCACGGTGGTAGCATCTATTAGAGTCGTAGCTATGGGTAAATAGTGACCCCCAAAAATGGGATCAAAACATGAAATTTTAAAAATGGATTTTTATAGTATAAATACCGGAAATATATTTTCGCAAAACAATTGTTACCTGCAATACATTTTTGAAAAAAAGATATTACCAGCAATAAATTTAATTTTCGAGAAAAACACATCAATGATACCTGATCTACAAACTGATTTCTTACAAAGAATATATATTCTATTCATACGAACCGATACTAAAAATCTTGTCGGCATTAAATAACCCATCGAGGTGTTGATATGGCCTAAAGCAAAATAAACCAAACCAAAATGTATGTGATCCACGCTAGTAAATATCAAACGGTCTAAATCGAATTTTATATAATTCAGGAAACTTTGACCTTTGTCCTTAGCGGAGTTGATCTGTGACGAAGCCAGTATTTACTGAACTCACTCTAAGTAGACATTGCAATCAGACCATCAGAGTAGGAAGGTGCATTAGCGAGTTTACCAGAAGGCAAACACATAGATACTAGATGCAAATTCACGCCTCACAAAATTTCAGAGGCTGTTCCCGACATGGTAAATATGTAGTCGACCCAGCTGCGCTCGGAGTGTGCACAGGTGAGAGAACCAAATGGCAGGAAGATCTATAATCTCTTATATGGTCACCAGGAGAAGATCCAAGTTCAAGTAAAGCCCTCAAAGCTACACACCCTTACGCCAATATTAACTGACGAAGTCTGGAGAGGGAATAAGTTTTAGTCTTGTGTTCTTATCAATGACTAGCATAGAAGTCGCTCTTCGAGCAGACGTTAAGCTAACTTCTGCAAAAGTGTTTTCGGCCAGCAGCATCCTATGTATGTAAAAGTTATAAGAATATAGAAATAATAAAATCTTAAAATCTTTGTTCGACACCTTAATTCGGAATAATCTTTTTTCGTATACGCAACTGATCGCTGTAGTTTATTTACATTTATTTTGCTCACATTTTTTTTTAAATCACCATTCTTTATGATCCTTTAATATAAAGTTACTCTTAAAAGACATGAGGGAACCTGAACCCTGTAATATTTCGAATACGTCACAGTAAACGTGCTAGAAAAAGAAAAAAATGTATGGACAACGTACCGTGATCCGCTCAAATTTTAATTATGGTTTAATTAGAAGATACCAATTGCAATTGGGACGAAATGCTAACTTAAAGTTTAACCCTAGAACACTAACCATCAATTAAAGTAACACAACTACTAAAAATTGGTATATCATACCCGATTTTGAAAATATTAAGTATAAATCTTTATTTGAAATATTTTACCCATCGTTAGTGCTCTAGGGTGAATAACGAATTGTTTTTGCGTTGGATGCTATATACCCATCGTTAGTGTTCTAGGGTTAATAACGAATTGTTTTTGCACTGGGTACTATATACCGATGGTTAGTGTTCTAGGGTTAATAACGAATTGTTTTTTTTTTAGAGTTTTGCCTCTGTTTGATATTTAAATTTAACTCTAAATGAGTTTTTTAATTTTTAATCGCCTTTAACTACAGTAGTTACTACCTGTTACTTCAGATTGTTTATGATTCGCTTCGATCGAAAACGGACGGACGGACGGACACACGTACGCTGCGCTTTATTTATATAGATAGCTTTCAATGATAACATTGCAATCCCAATATTAACGTTTTTGTTTCTATTTCAGCAAAGCCATACTTTATATATCCACTGAAATCACAATTTCCGGACGCTGGATCGAAACTGACTTGGTTGTGCATAGCACAAGGGAAACCGGACCCAACCTATTCCTGGTACAAGGATGGTGTACTTCTAAAATCGATCCCAGGACAAATAGACGTGAACGGCAATGTGTTAACGATCAATTCAATACAAGAGCAAAGGGATCGCGGAATGTACCAATGTGGAGCGAGCAATCAATATGGAATGACGTTCAGCAGTGCACAGCTAAAGATTCTCAGTAAGTTATTCTTTCGCTATTAGACATAATAGCTGAATTTTCTCAATCAATTGGCTGGGGGGGGGGACAAAACATCAGACATCCTCTTGGCGTCAATTTAAAATGATGTCTTTATTTTCATATATCTGGACTATAATAATCCGATAATAATGATGCTTGCCTCTGCTTTCGTTAGTTCATACGACCGTTACGCCTTGCCAATACTTCATAAATAACGGACTATTTCGTATTGACGGCGTGAAAAGACGGAAATGACATATCAGAGATGCCACTTGGTTTCAGTGAGAAAATTAAAGAAAGAAGTCTTTAATATCTTCTGCTAATACCTCATAAATAATGGACTATTCCATTTTGATTGTGTGGAAAGACATATCAAACACGCTAACTGTTTTCAGAAAGAAAGAAAGAAGTCTTTAACGTCTCCTGCCTATACCTTATAAATAATGAACTTTTCCATTTTGATTATGTGGAAAGATATATCAAAGACGCTACATGGTTTCAGTAAGAAAGAAAGATAGAAAGAAAGAAAGATAGAAAGAAAGAAAGAAAGATAGATAGAAAGAAAGAAAGAAAGATAGAAAGAAAGATAGAAAGAAAGACAGAAATCTTTAACGTCTCATGTCTATACCACATAAATAATGGACTATTCCATTTTGATTGTGTAGAAAGACGTATCAAAGACGCTACTTGGTTTCAGTAAGAAAGAAAGAAAGAAAGTAAACAAGGGAAATAATGCAGATGTAAATAAATCATTGAGTGTCTAAATTGTGTTTCAATGAAATAGAAGAAGTTGAAAATTTATAATTATTTTCATAATTGTTATTGCAATATTTCGTTAAAAATGTTAAGTTCGAATATTTAACAATGTGATAGGGCCAATTCTACAGATATTTTATTGACTCAGCATCCGCCATCAGTTCATTCGATCATTAACTTAAATGAATATTAAAATTGGAAAACCTTGGAATTTTCACTGATCTTTCTAGTAAAGTATAATTTTGGAAAGTGAACATTTCGCTGAAATATGTTGGAAAAATTCCAAGTTTTCGTTTGAAATTAAGAAAATACAAATAATGAACAAAATAGTCGCAATATATGGAAAAAAAAAAAAAAGATGTCAGCGTAAAGTGACGCCAGTAGGGTAAGGATTTAATCGGTGACTTTTTTTTCAACTCAATATAGTTCTTCATTTATTATTGCTTCAATGAGCAGCTAATAGAACACCCGGAAAAATACACATTCAACAATTTTTTAAAAAGTTATCAAATTAATATTCATTTGCTTAATATCCCTTTTTTTACGCCAGAAAATAATATTTACAAAGAAAACATTGTTTCAAAAAAATTCAAATAATCACAACCGTTAAAACATGAACAATCGTTCAGAAACTATTTACAGAAAATTGCTTAAAAAGAAAAACTATTTCCTAATATGTTCTTTAAAATATTTAAAAATATTTAAATCATCTTAAACAAAGCCTTTATATCTTTAAAAAAAATCAGTACGATATCCAGTTTTTGTTTTTAATTTTTTTTACAACATTTCCTATCTTATGAAACTCTAACGAATTCTATCATTTCTTTCAAGTTGTAGACATTTGCGAAAATTTTAACTTCCTTGGGCAGCTTATTCTAATGAAATAATGGTATTTCTGTATAAGAAATTCGGAGATTTATTGAGTGTACAATGTTGTTTCTTTCCGATGTTCTAAAAAAGGATATCTATCTATCTATCTATCTATCTATCTATCTATCTATCTATCTATCTATCTATCTCATTCTGTTCCTTTCTAGCTATCTCACTTTGGTCATACCTATCTATCTATCTACCTATCTATCTATCTATCTCGGGGGTTCAAGTCTGTTTCAGGCGAATTAAATGCAATGTCAATCGTTATCCTCTCTCTTCTTAATTTCTGTTCTCTCCTTAATCTTTTTTTGTTCATCTTCTCTCACTATCTGTAACCAATTGCGTGCTAGTAGCTTTATTTATCTATTTTTGTCCATTCAGTATCTATACATCTAGCTATATTAATCTGCTTATTAATGTATCCTACTATCTATCTATCTATCTATCTATCTATCTATCTAGATAGATAGATAGATAGATAGATAGCGGATTCAACTGACCTTCTGATTCTCTCTCTCTGTATATATATATATATATATATATATATATATATATATATATATGTATATATATATATATAGATAGATAGATAGATAGATAGATAGATAGATAGATAGATAGATAGATAGATAATGGATTCAACTGACCTTCTGATTTTAAACCACCTCTCTCTCTCTCTCTCTCTTCTCTCTTCGTATATATATATATATATATATATATATATATATATATATATATATATATATATATATATATATATATATATATATATATAGATAGATAGATAGATAGATAGATAGATAGATAGATAGCAGATTCAACTGACCTTCTGATTTTAAACCATCTCTCTCTCTGTATATATATATATATATATATATATATGTGTGTGTGTGTGTGTGTGTGTGTGTGTATATAATATATATATATATATATATATATATATATATATATATATATAGATAGATAGATAGATAGATAGATAGATAGATAGATAGGGTATATCAGAAACTTTGGGGGCGGGTTCCTCACACCAAAACAAAGACAAAAGTCCATACAAACACATGACAATGTGCTGATAACTGGACCGTCATCGACATCCTGTAGCATGTGTTCTTCATGGTCAGCCATTTAACTTGTTGCCTTACCTCTGACTGCTTCGCTGAACAAACCACCTGACGAGAATCACTTCCGGTGACGAATGACGGCATTTAAGTTCACGCGTTGCCTATGATTGATTCACTGAACAAAACACCTGGGGAGACCTTGGCGGTCGAAACCGCAGTAGTGTTCCGGTCAGTGTTCTCATCTTTTTAAGATATTAAATCGCTCTGCAAGTTTGATTTTCTTACTTTAAATTGAGCACTTTTTAATGTATATATATATATATATATATATATAAAGACATTTTATGTTTATACATTCTTTTTTATAGATACAAATATTTAAGTAAATGCTCTGTTATAATAAACAGTATTAACATTATAAACAGTATTAACGACATTTACCGGCCTGAATGTGTGACGTCATTTGTTTACATTTCTTGGATATTCAGGCCGATAAATTAAATAAAGGATAGCTACACAAAGTTTTTGCCTTACTTGTTGCTACTCTGATGATGATCTCAGAAAGAGATGGAAAGTACTTCAGAAATAAAAATGATTTTCACTGATACAGTGCATTTATTGCCAAATTTGATCGTAATACACGGAAAAATATCCGTGAATATGAACGGATAATGCTAAAAATAACCATGCATTATGTTTGTAATTTATTCAATCAGACATGCATATATATATATATATGGGCTATTTTTTATGTTTCTTGCTTCATATTATTTCTTTATAGACTTTCCGCCCAGATTCATTCGCTCCCGTCTCCAAGACATCACCCCGGCAGCAATGGGGGGAAATGTTTCCTTGATTTGCAACCCGGACGCGGCACCGACGGCCGACATTAGCTGGACTAAAGATGGAATGCCGACTGGTAGCAGTATTGGAAGAGTGACGTTATTGACGAACGGTAATCTTGTCATAACACAAGTGACCAAATCGGACGAAGGGGTGTACACATGCACAGCCCGGAATAATTTAGGAGAAGTTAAACAATCGACTCGGTTGCAAGTTAAAGGTAGGTAAATGCAACCGCTCTCCTGTAATACTGAAATGAATCACTATCGTTTTGTAAGGATTCGGTCGCTTCATTCTACGGCCTTATTTATATTGGTAATCCGTACAGAAGGTACCTTCTCTGATTCAGAGGTAAATTAATATAATTACATGTGATGTTATTCAAACAGGTTTATGTGTACTTCTTTTTGCTAATGTCCGTGGGAAAGGCATTCCTATGATTATCTCTGGTTAGCACTACCAGAAAAAAGTTATTTCACGGTTGGATGCCTCATGACTAAGGTATAGACAACCAATGATTCCGGTAGACTCAAGTATAAACACAACGATGATTTCATCCCTTGCATAGGAGCGAAAAGGATCTTAATAAACAGTGTCCTTCATGTTGGATGCTTGCAAACTCAAATATAAAAACGACAAATATTTACCTATAAGCTCAAGTATAAAGATGATGCAGACTTTGTGTTTTGTATGGGGACAAGAACACCCTAACAGGGGCCTGCTTCTGGGTGGATGTTTTTAAACTCCAATATAAAAACAACAAATATTTACCTATACACTCGATGCTGACTTTGCATAAAAGCAAGAACCCTCTTGAAAGGGATATCTCTGCTGGTGAATGCTTTAAATCTCAAATATAAACACGACAGATATTTACCTATAACCTCACGTATAAATACGATGTAAACTTCATGACTTCTATATGGCAAAAAAATTATTAAAAGGGGCCTTTTTGCAGTGGATGTTTCCAAACTCAAATATAAACACAACAGATATTTACCTATCGTCTCACGTATACAGTCGATGTATACTTTGTGCCTTGCATAGGACCAAGAACTCCTTAAAAGGGGTCTCTTTCTCGATGAATGCTTACAAAATCAAATATAAACACCACCAATATTTACCTATGAACACACGTATAAAGTCGATATACACTTTGTTCCTTGTATAGGACCAAGAACTCTTTATAAGGGGTCTGTTTCTCGGTGAATGCTTTCAAACTCAACAATAAAGACGTCCAATATTTATCTATATACTCAATTATAAACACGATGCTGATTCCATCCTTTGCATAGAAGTATGAATCCCTTTAAAAAAAAACAAGCCCCCTTCTGGGTGGATGCTTTCAAACTCAAACTCGACTAAAAATGTTTGGCAGGCGAAGGGCTTCTTGTTGGTCTGAGAACTTTTCAGAAAACGTCTAACCTCAATGTTATTTACTAGAGAAGATAACAAATGTTTAGCAGTTGCAGTAACTTCACCTAAAAATCTTTAGGGATATTTTCTGAACCATTTTAACGGTGGGACTGTATTTTATTTGTTATCAAATACGGTAAAAAGAGAAAGCTTTTTCAGATATATTAAACGCTTAGATTCATCGATTTGTTCTGGGATTTCGAATATTTATCCCTCTTTTTTTTCTTATTATTGCTTAGCAGTATTGCCTGTCATGTTTCAGATCACATGGTGATTGTCCAGGGTCCGAAGAATACGGAAACACTAGTGAATGAGACAGTCTTTTTTTACTGTACAGTGTCGTACAATGATTACTTTGAAACTGTACATAAGTGGTACCTGAATGGACGCCTACTGGATCTTCATCATGACCCGACATACCAACTTGTGGGTATACGTAAATATTACTTTTACTTACTAAAGCACTCAATACTTAATTGGACTTGTGCCTTTTTTTTTTTCCACCTTATGGCTTCTCTCTTTCTTTTTTGTCTTTTTTGGGGTTTTTTTCCTCTTTCTTCTTCTCTCTTGCTCTTTTCCTTTTATTATTTCTTTTTTATTCCTGATCTCTCTCTCTCTCTCTCTCTCTCTCACACACACACACACATACTTACATACACACTTCGCCTTGCTTTTCTTTTTCATTTTTTACCCCCTTCCTTCGCTTTCTGCCTCTTTTCTTCTCCTCTACCTACTTCTTTTCTCTTCATTTTTTCTTAACCTTCTCTTTCTCCTTCAGTTCTTCTCTCTATTACTTTCACTATCTCTGTCTCTGTCTCTATCTCTCTCTCTCTCTCTCTCTCTCTCTCTCTCTCTCTCTCTCTCTCTCTTCACTTTGGTTTTCCTTTTCGTTGTCTTCTTCTTCATCTTACTTTTCTTCTCCTCCGCCTTCTGTTTTCTCATCAATTTCTTCTTCTTCTTCTTCTTCACTTCTGTTCTATCTTATTTTCATTCCTTCTTCTTCCACTTTTCCACTTCTTCCTTATCCTTCTTTTTCATCTTTTTCGTCTTCTTCCTTGTCTTCTCTCTCTCTCTCTCTCTCTCTTCCACGTCCTCTTGTCAGCCTCTTCCTCCTCCTAACCCTCCTCCTAATCATCATCATCACCACCAACAACATTATCATCATTTCTCGTTGAAACTGGAAGCAACTTTGTTTCAATTTTGAAACACGCCTTCATATAATGAATTGTACTTAATCTGTCACCAGACTGAAAGATACAAACAGATGATTGGAAGATTGTATGCCACCAACCATTCAAGCATATCTGCGATATAAATCAATAGTCGAATTCTGACTATTAACTGGGGTCGGTCAGGGCCTTCTGGGGACACGACTAGGGTCTGCTAACTTATTCAGCCATGAAGCAGGTAAATGTGATTTTATATTCGTTTCATTAAGATAAATAGAAGCACAATCCTTGATTTGTAATCCGTCTTTCTCCTTTCCTGTAATTTCCTTCTCAATGAAAGAGAAACGCTTAATGTACTAACCATTTTTCTTTCTTTACTTTGCGCTTCTTTCCTTTTCTATTCTGGATCTTTTTTTTTTCTTTCTTTCTTTCTTTTTTTCTTTCTTTTATTTCCTTTCTTTCTTTCTTTCTTTCTTTCTTTCTTTCTTTCTTTGCGCTTCTTTCCTTTCCTATTCTGTATCTTTCTTTCTTTCTTTCTTTCTTTCTTTCTTTCTTTCTTTCTTTCTTTCTTCGTTCATTCCTCCTTCCTTCCTTCCTTCCTTCCTTTCTTTATTTCTTCTTTCTTTCTTTTTTTCTTTCTTTCTTCATTTCCTTCCTTCCTTTCTTCCTTCCTTTCTTTCTTTCTTTCTTTCTTTCTTTCTTTCTTTTTCTTCGTTCATTCCTCCTTCCTTCCTTCCTTCCTTTCTTTATTTCTTCTTTCTTTCTTTCTTTCTTTCTTTCTTTCTTTTTTTTCTTTTTTCTTTCTTTCCTTCTTCCTTCCTTCGTTCCTTTCCTCCTTCCTTCCTTCCTTCCTTCCTTTCTTTTTATTTCTTTCTTTTTCATTTTTCTTTTCCTTTCCTTCCTTCCTTTCTTTATTTTTCTTTCTTTTTTTTTTCTTTTCTTTCATTCTTCTTTCCTTTCCTTCCTTCCTTCCTTCCTTTCTTTATTTCTTTCTTTCTTTCTTTCTTTTTCTTTTTTCTTTTCCTTTTCTTTTTTCTTTCTTCTTTTTTCTTTCTTTCTTTCTTTCGTTCATTCATTTCCTCCTTCCTTCCTTCCTTCCTTTTTCTTTATTTCTTCTTTCTTTCTTTCTTTCTTTCTTTCTTTCTTTTTTCTTTCTTTTCTTTCTTTTCTTCGTTCCTTTCCTCCATTCCTTCCTTCCTTCTTTCTTTCCTTCTTTTCCTTCTTTTTTTTATTTCTTCTTTCTTTCTTTTTTCTTTCTTTCTTTCTTTCTTTCTTTCTTTCTTTCCTTTCTTATTCTGTATTCCTTTCTTCCTTCTTTCTTTTCTTTCTTTCTTTCTTTCTTTCTTTCTTTCTTTCTTCGTTCATTCCTCCTTCCTTCCTTCCTTCCTTCCTTCCTTCCTTCCTTCCTTCCTTTCTTTATTTCTTCTTTCTTTCTTTCTTTCTTTCTTTCTTCGTTCATTCCTCCTTCCTTCCTTCCTTCCTTCCTTCCTTCCTTTATCTTTCTTTCTTTCTTTCTTTCTTTCTTTCTTTCTTTCTTTCTTTCTTTCTTCGTTCATTCCTCCTTCCTTCCTTCCTTCCTTCCTTCCTTCCTTTCTTTATTTTTCTTTCTTTTTTTCTTTCTTTCTTTCTTTCTTTCTTTCTTCGTTCATTCCTCCTTCCTTCCTTCCTTCCTTCCTTCCTTTCTTTATTTCTTCTTTCTTTCTTTCTTTCTTTCTTTCTTTCTTTCTTTCTTTCTTTCTTTCATTCCTTCCTTCCTTCCTTTCTTTATTTCTTCTTTCTTTCTTTTTTCTTTCCTCCTTCCTTCCTTCCTTCCTTCCTTTCTTTATTTCCTTCTTTCTTTCTTTTTTTTTTTCTTTCTTTTTTTTCTTTTTTCTTTCTTTCGTTCATTCATTCCTCCTTCCTTCCTTCCTCCCTCCATTCCTTCCTTCCTTTCTTCCTTCCTTTCTTTTTTTCTTTCTTTCTTCCTTTCTTTCTTCCTTTCTTTCTTTCTTTCTTTCTTTCTTTTGATGTCTCCTCTTTCTATCTCTTACGTACCTGATACGTTTACTGGTTCTCGTTCTCTCTCTTTTTTCATTCATTCATTCATTCTGCCTCTCTTCTATTGAATCACAATTCACTTTTTTCTTGATGAATTGCGCTGTAGCTGTAGTTTATTTCTGCGCATGCGTCAAGTGTAAGCGCTGTACCTTTTAATCAATAATTTCAACGACTGAAAAATATCTTCAACTCCGGCAATTTGATTTTGTTACAAGTTAATTGCGTTAATTTTGTCCAATCAGAAATTGTTGCTTTTCATTGTGGCGTTTTAATCTAATTTCTGATGGACATTTGCAGCAAATCTCTTTAAATCTGACGCAAACACATTAAAATTATAATTAATGGAGATAAAACAAAACTAATGTTATCTTTTACTGCGACAGACATGTCTTTTTCTTGATTTAAACAGATCAATTCTTTTCATCATTCTGCTGATTATCGAAACATACGTATAATTTTGAAAAACAATATCATCAAATTTAGATATTTTAAAATCAGTTCTATTCTCTTTCTCCATTTGTGCCATGTCCCTTCATGATATAGGCGGTGAAGGATCTCCACAATTTCCTATTAATTGTAATGCTTAGTAAGTTTTGTCTTTATACAATCCATTCCAGTCTCTGTTCTGCTGTCTATTTACACCGGTTCGTTAGGTAAAGTATTTGCGTTTTTCCTCTGACATCTTTCCTTATTGTGAGTGTCAAATTCACCAAGCTCTCCTTTCGTCGCTGTGTGTCTTGAAGTTTCAAATGTCTCTTACCATTTCTGAGCGTTCTTTTTGTTTGTTTCTATTTTATTGGGAACATCATCGTTACTCTAATGTTCAATCCGTGTAATTCTCAGCATCCTTCTGTAGAGCCACACTTGTCTTACCTCCCGTCTCTTCTTCATCCATAAGAAGATTGTCCAGCATCCACTCCTATATAGGACGAATTATATTACATAGCAGTTCAGTACTCTTTTCTTTGTTTCTAACGAAACTTAGCTGTTTTTTCATACGTTGCCTAGATTTTGAAATACAACTTGCGTCTTCGAATTTTGGTACTTCAATTTTTGTCCTTTTAAATCCCTACTCAGGTAATGAAATTTTTGTATTTACCTGATTCGGGTACCTCCAATTCATACTTTGAATTGTAGTATGATCCTCTTGTCCATAAAGAAATACAAAAATAAGAAATTAATTATACAGTCACTATTTCGTTTCCATAAAAATCTAAATAAATAAAAATTAATTATAATGTCAAAAAATAATTATGATAAAATGATTGTAACAATTATAATTATCATTAATTCCCTCTTTCTAAACCATTGAGAATTGACCCCACTTTTCTCCTCTAGACACACAAACACTTGATATTCTCACTATCGGACAGGCAGGCAACATGAACAGGTTGTCAATACGTGCGTCAACGAAAATTTCGGCTCCTTTTCCTTTATCAGGCCATCATAGTGGCATTTATCTTTTAGCACGCAAAAAAAATTCGAGATAACAAAACCAAAGACACGTCTTCTAGTTTCTAAATTATCTGGACACTCATTACACACATCTATAAAAAGCAACTTATGAGAAAGAATTTTATTTATTCTTTATATTATCATTCTGACGGATTCCGATCCATATTTCATCTACATTTGACCCCAAATTCATAATTTTACTCAGTATTATTGTCTCCCGTTTCTCCAACACCACACAACAACCAGGTAATAAATGATACGTGTTTTATTGTTTCCTCGTCTTGCTGTTTTTATTTTATTTTTTTTTTTTACGAATATTTTCGTATACATAAATGTTAGGGGTTTTATAATTTGCTTAGAGTTATAACTCCCCTACAAACTATAGATTTTTCTTCCTGTAATTGACATTTAGTCTTTTCTTCTCACTTTGTTTTTCTATATTTGTTATGGTCCGGTTCCTTGGACCACGTTGATAGTCCAAGGTAGAACCAATGAAGAAGAACTCGAATACGTATATGGAATAACACAGATATATTACAAACAGGAATATATACAGAGAAGTAGAAAGTGTTAGTACGAACAATCAGGTTTAGTAGTAATTGTCTGAACGTGACTCTGTTTCGGACTGCCTCTGACTCGACTGACTGACTGCTGACGGACCTCACTCCAGACTTCAGACTGAACTCCATGCTTCCTTGTTGAGGCGCAGTATTTATTATATATGGAATAGTCCATTATGTTATTATGGGTAAGGTCCCATAACAATATTCTATAAGAGTTTCTGCAGTTTCTTTTCTCCATAAGCCTTAAACACAGTGCCATCTACGTATCTTATATTTTGAGACATTTTTTATGTTTATACGTTCTTTTTATAGATACAAATATTTAAGTAAATGCTCTGTTTGTAATAAACAGTATTAACGACATTTACCGGCCTGAGTGTCCGAGAAATGTTCATAGAAAATATGCGTCCTCCGACAGGAATCAAACCTGTATCCTATACGGAACCGTCTTATAGCCTGACGTGCCTTAACCGATGGAGTCACAGAGGATCGTTCGGTTAACAAGCTCGATTTCACTGCTTTTAAACTACAATCTTTCATGAATCTCTCACGTACATTCATAACCGCTCAAAGCGTATCTAAATGTATACAAATGACGTCACACATTATGAAATGGATAAACTCCGACAATTATTTAAAGACATTTTTATAGATACAAATATTTAAGTAAATGCCATGTTTATAATAAATATTATTAACAACATTTATCGGCCTGAATGTCCGAGAAATTTTCCTAGAAAATATTCGTCCTCCGACAGGAATCGAACCTGTATCCTATACGAACCCTCATATAGCCTGACGTGCTTTTACCGATTGAGCCACAGAGGAGCGTTTCGGTTAGCAAGGTCGATTTTACTGTTTTTAAACTACAATTCTCCATGATTTTCTCTCATTCATGCCTGCTCGATGTGTATCCAAATGTAAACAAATGATGTCACACATTATGAAATGGACAAAGTCCGACAATTGTTTTAAGACATTTGTATCTATAAAAAGAACGTATAAACATAAAAAAAATGTCCTTAAATAATTGTCGGACTTTGTCCATTTCATAATATTTGATATCTTATATTGCTAACATTGTAGTCACCAATAATAAATCCTGCTAAGAATTCGGGTTATCTTAGGATCCTATCACTGTAGAGGCTGCAAACGTCTGGTGAAACGATGCACGCTTGACATACGGTCCATTCTATATTTGTATATTTACTGCATTCCTTTTCGATCCGCATGCAGGCAGCTTACTCCCAGTATAAGTTATGGGTTATTCTAATAAATTTTCTCAATATTTTTGTTGAATAAAATATATCCGCCATGATTTGGTTTATTCAGAATAACATCCTTATCTTTGTTGTTATAATTGCAATTTTTCGGTTGTTCTACGTTCACATTTTTGTTTCGGTTTTCGGATGCTCTATATTACCCCTGAAGCAGGCCACAGATAAATTACTGAACCGTTCCGACTGTTAGAACCAAGATAATGACATTGTGGCATACAGTGCTATAATGTTTATTCAGCGATGTTACTGTTGGTCACCACTTTATAGGGAGAGTTGCTAGTTTGTATGTGATGTGTTTGTTTAGAACTTTTGATGAAGAGGTTGAGAAATTTTTTAAAGTAACGATTTCATTATTTTTAAAGTAAATGTTTTCAACATTTTTTTTAAATATCGATAATAAGAAGGTAATAATACTTTGGCCTAAAGTTTTGATTCTATAAATATACAAATAATTACAAACAACTACAATGATTAAATATAATTGGTAGAAATGCCCATCAAAGAGAACTGACAAATTTTGCAATAAGCAATAAAAGGAAGAAAAAAAAAAACAGGGCAAAAATAATATTAAGCTAACAATATATACAAGATAAAAAGTGTGCAAAGCAGCATAAATATGACAAGAAGTTAACAAACAGTTAAGTGTTGGTGGTAAAACAGAAAAGGGAAGCAGACAAGAGATCGCAGCACTCTGACTTGAAGTCAAGTAATACCATAACTAAGTCGGATAAGAGCGAGAAAATGGTCTATTTTATTAGCTAGGAAGAAATCCCAGCATGCATCTGTATTACAGAGGTTTCGCATCAAATCCATTGTCATCGATGACCTGCAGAGACCTATCTATAATATCGATTTCTACAGTATATTGATACAGTAGTTGGCAGTGAAAATGAATATCCTACCGCCCCTTATTAAAATGATTGATTTTTTCATATACATAGAAACTAATATTATGAATATATATGCTTATAAAGCTCCGTAAATTTCAAAACTAGTTATTCAAAATTCGTTTGAGGATGAAACAGAACTAGGTACTTTAATTTTAATTTAATTTCTATAAGTGAATTGGAAGTTTTTAGCTTCTGTTTTTGAAACATGGTAATTCCTATGTAGCGATGGAATGATATTTTTAAAAAATATTTATATATATATATATATATATATATATATATATATATATATATCCCAGCTATCGGTAAATAGCAGGACAGACTGGATTCTATCGCCTTGGTTGGCAACCGGTTTAGAAGAAAGTAACTCTGAATTCAAAACTCTATGTAGTTCTGGCGTAGCACATACTATGCAGCTAACACTTCGGAGTTGGGGTACCTATAGCAGTTCATCACTGATTTCAGCCTTGTTCTGACAGCTCCTGTGGCGTCGCTGGTGCCAAACTGTAAGTGGCCCTTCTGGTCCTCTGGATTCATCATCGACGTGGAGAGTTTGGACATGCTGCATGGGCATCATCTTCATACCATGCTGCCAAGTCTTGATCCTAGCTTACAGATGGGTGGGATCAAATCCATTGTCATCGTTGACCGGCGGAGGCCGCTATATTCTGATTCTAAATACAAGTGCTTTGTTGCATACGTGTTCCATTCAGTTGTGGAAGGCCGTGATCCTCAATATTTTAAAAGGAAATGGTACATAAAAGTAGATAACAATTCTCTAGAGAATTTCATTGCTGCCAACTGGAGTCCAGAGGTTTGAAACTGACGAGTTTCTCGTTGGTCATCAATTTGTAGTGGATTGTGCCACTTTGTAACCGAT